GGTGGCGGGGCGGGCGCTGCTCGGCCTGGCGGGGCGCAGGCACACGCTAGTGGAGCTACAGCAGCTTCTCCAGCTGACCCCTGATCTGCAGTGCTTTGCTAAATGTCTCTGGGAAAACCTCTGCAACCAGGCTAGAGACAGCAACACAAGTGCTTAGTATTCAGACGGCCTTATTCTAAAAGGCGCAATCAAAAGCTGCAAATGAAACCCCACTAAATTCCGGCTCTAACAAGTCACTGCTGAATCGTACGTAAGCGCTGCTTAAGCGTGCTTCACTGCATATGGAGAGAGTTTTTCAGAAACAACCATAAATTGTATCAAATAAAGTAAATTAATTTTCAGTTCTTTGCATTAAACTTCTTTGTTGCATATCCCCGTGTTTCTGTACGACCTAGCTGTAACTCCTGTAGTCTGTTGTAATGAGGGGCTGTAAATGGTGTTGTAATGTGCAAAACACACACAATAGGTTTGTCTGTCTATGGGAGTACAAGAAGTGAGAGCAACGTAATTCCAAATAGGATGGAGGCATGGAATATTTTGGAAAAAAAAAAAAACATGGAAAAAGAATTTAGCATTTGGACTGTAGCTTCTTGGCTATCTATCTTGACCTGAGGGCATCCATGCATTTGACTGAAGCAAGCAAGCACATAAACTTCATTTCAGTTACACAGAAGCCTCTAGGAGTTACTCCTGTGTGTTTGTTAATCTCGTGGTCTGTACCTTCAATAAACCCCTCTGGCTTGGGGAAAATTGTCTAAATCCATTCTACCGACCTGTTTTCCCCAGTACCCACAGCATACAGGCAGCAGCACCAGTTGGCTGTGCCCAGCAGCAGAAATTCCCTTGGCAGATTCTGTCAAAGCCAACATGTTATGCAACAACACTAAAATAAACGATTTCCAGCTACCAGGTTTTTTTTTGGTGAAGTCGGCAGCCGTGCTCTGCAAGGGGAAAAATACTGCAAATCAATCCCACTTCTGTCATGAATGTGAAAAAGGCAGTATATTTTAGTGTTGCAGAATTGTTTCTTGATTTACAATTTGGCATTGGGAGACAGCAGGAAGAGCAGGAGTCTCCTCAGAGCTGAATCAGGAGAGCTCAGGAACTCTGAGGATTGCACTCATGTGTTAAAAAGGGAAAATTATAGGACCTTGGTCCTGTAGCTCAGACTCCAGTGTTGTTTGCACACTCTTTCCAAAATTCTGGCTATGATGATACTTCACACTACTTTCTGGAGTTTCAGTCTGCTTTTTTGATGTTGCCTTATGAATTAAAAATGCATTATTATTCTGTGATGTTCTGAATGCCAGAACTTGCTTCTGTGGCCACTTATTCACACTTCTTTTCACCAGAATTGGAAAGTTTTTCTAGCAGCTTAGAAGATTTGGTCCTGTAGCTTCAAGTCTACTCTGACTCCTTTTTCATCTCTCCATCCCGACTTCAATTTGACCATTGAAACCAATGATACTCCTGGGATTGTTTCCCTCTTTCTGTTCAACTCCTTCCTCCCTCTTCCCCACTCCTTGTGTGAGAAGAATTCTACCTGAGCAGTAGATTTTTTAGGATGCTTAGGATTAAATTACTTAAAACACTGTGGTGCCATTAATGTGTGTCTTAGATGTGTTTCCCAGGAAATGAACACCTCAGTTTCTCTGTGGTGAGGCATTGGCAGTAAAGCAGCACTGATGCTGATATCCCATAGACCAGTGAACATGTAACCACTGTTATATGATCTCTCTCTTAAATTAGATCTCTCCACTTGAAAATTTTAAATCAAATTTTTAAAATGAACTTGTAAAATCACCCTGGAGCTCCTACTTGCTAACATGGTAACATATCACCGGCAATGTTCTTTTTACCAGCATCTCTGATTCCAGCAATAATATTGGAAAGAAAAGGAAGGAGAAAAGCTTGCATTATTTGAAAGCTGTTCTGCTGACCCCATTCTGTCAGCAACTGCAACTAAACCCCGTCAGCAGACGTCTGCTGCTGCTACCTGTTTATCTCCAGCACTTTTATCTGCATGATGCTCTAGAGACAGATGGTTTCTAAAAGCCACTTCCTTTATTTTAGAGAACTCTACTAATCTAAACAGAACAGATTTCTCCTTGCTGTCTTATTGCCTTCACTCTTTTGTCTCACAGCAACTCCCTTTCTTTCCTTTCTTCACACCTGCTTTTCCACCTCTGGCTTTGCCCTTTCCCTTGTGAGATTTTTTCATTTTAGTGTGTTTTTAATTGGAACAAATGCATTGGTCACACCCTTTCTATCTAAATTCATGAATTTAAAACTTCAATTTTTACCCTAAGTTACTTAGGCAGTGTAAATTACACAAGGGACTGTCATATATAGCTTATAAAGTCGAATGCTTATTTATTTATATTGTATGCACTTCTTTGGATGTAATGAAGAGAAAGATGTGTACGCTACAACGCTGCCTTGTACCAAAGAGAAAGGTAAGAAAGGAGTTCATGTCTTCTCTCTCTTTCTGTGAGTTACTCCTTTCATATTCAAACCAGAATTCTAGCAAGGTAGGAATGTGATGTACATTCCTGTGAAGCACACAGATCTGCTGTGATGCACAGAACACCCCATGTGGCACATACTGCCTTTGTTTAAGGGAATGAAATTGCTGATACTGACAATTTTGCTGTATGGATGCAAAAGTGGGCACTTCAGACAGGGATCATTTAAACTTTGGATGTCTGACTCCTAAGAACACAACAGAGCACTTCAGACAGGGATCATTTAAACTTTGGATGTCTGACTCCTAAGAACACAACAGAGCACGCTCAAACTCTGATGTCTATAAATGGTATGAAGAATGGCGTTTTTATTGCAACTACAAATTTTCTGACTGAAAATCAGAACCTGCTCAGTAGAAAGGCGATTACTTGAGACAAAACCTGAATCAATGATTGGAGTGCTGCTGTTGGCACTCGCTGAGAAATGTGTCAACATACTTTTATATATATAAGTAAAAATAAACTATACCTTTCTACAGACTTATAAATGACCATCGTGACTGATCACACAACACAGTCAAACTTTAGAACAGTTCAGTCCATATGTAGTGGAGTTATGAACAGAATAACTTAATGAAACAAGAGTTTATATAATTTCTTTATAAGAGAACCTTTATTTAATAATGGACTGTCTCAGTAAATGAGGTTGATAGGAACAATGAATTTCAGTATGAAGAGCCAGGTATTTGGTGTGTTCATGACTTCACTTCAGTTTCTTCTTCTTGAGGTAGTGTATCCCAAACAGGTTTCCGAATGTGTTCTGGTATTTTCTCTATCTTAGTCTAAAGGAAAGAAAACCACCATTTACTGTACCAGCTAACATCTAACTACTTTATTTAGTCTGGTTTGAGACATGAATCAGATTTAAAACGCCACCTAGTGGCACTTCCAAGCAATACAGCCTCTTTAACGTAATACTTCGGCAAATTCTCTTATCAAACTACATCCATTTTCTCGGCTGACTTTCTGAAGACTTCAGTAGTTAGTGGTATTTGCATCAGGACTCATAAAAGTTAATAATGTGGGGTGGAAACAGACCTTTTTCACTTCCATGGCAACCCCTTCAGGTAAGTTTCGTTGTACATACTCCAAGTAAACTGCAGCAGTACTGCTTGTTAGGTATTTCAACTAAAACAGAAAGAATTTTTTTTAATAAACTGCAATTAATAATACTTCAAAGAAAATAATAAAAAAATTCCAAAGCTTCTTTAGCCCTTGCTATGGGACCAAACCTCTTACAGGAAGCCAACTGCCATAATATTTTGAACATAAGCAGTTCATCTGTACTCAACCCTCATGCAAACAAAGTAGTCACTTCACTCTGCAGAACTGTACATGCTGCCTGGGAAAACATGTATTGACTATGATAGAAGTAGTGGATCTTAACACTGCAGGTACCAGATGAAATTAATTACAGATTATGCAAGAATCACCAGCTATTTCTATACTCCCAAAGTTCAAGACTCTTATAAATCCTGCAACTCATTTCCACTGAAATACTGGTATTTTAGTTTCTCCTTGTTCCACTGAATTACTGATCTATTAGCTTTTCCTGGAAGGCAAAAATAGTGCTTTTGCTCTGTGGGCAGCCACTTGTACTGCACTCATGTCAGGGGACTCACAGTCCCATTTTGCTAAGCACTGTGCAAATTACAGTAAGACACCCAGGAGCCACAAAATGCTGGCAGTAAACCTTTCTTCTAAGAAAGTCAACCACAGCTGCATTCTAAACCATACACATGTCTGTGTCATCGGCCACAAAACTGGTGGTCTATGCTTCCTTTCTTCTATTTCCTACATGCAGTTTTAGTTTGCCACATGATGCTACACAGGACAAAAGTATGTCTGCTCAAAAACTTCAAACCAATTCACAGATAAAGAACAGAACCTTAGTGACTGGCAATCTTCTTCCCTTCCTGAGAAAACTCTCATCCTAATGACTTTTGGAAACCAAGAGCATAACACACATAAAGGTAACCCTCAATTCTACCTTACTTTCTTTAGTCAGTCTTTCAGCTGTTCAGATGATGGTCAAAATAAACATTTTGGTCCAAAAATGATGTAGGCTGTGCATTCAGAATAAGTTGTGTTTTATGTAAGTAGGTCAGCTGTTTTCCAGTATTTTCCTGCATTCTTGTCTCCAAAACATTTTCATTTGTGCATTAGCATGTAGTAATATCTTTGCACTGTGCACCTAGAACAATTTTTTTTCCTTCTTTCTTACCTCTAAACACCTGTAATGTGTTCTCATTTCATACTGAACTCTGTGCTTCTTGTAAATGTGTACAGATTTGAGAAGTGTAAATCGTTCTATTGTCTTTGGGGGCTTATCTCTGAGCAAAGAAGAAAAAGAAATTTTCATGTTACATAAAGGATGATAATACAAGTTTATCTGAAAGATTATGCTGAAATCTGTTCTTACTTGACATTTAGAAGATCTACAAGGAAATATGAAACACTAGTACAGTTTATTATTAACTCACATGGGCATGGTTAGCACCATGGTATTAACCAGCATTGGGTCAGGGAAGCTACAGCACTGACAGCTGCACTGAAAGCACTGTCAGAATCCTTCATGTAGATAAAAAGCACTTCCACTATGGCAGTGGAACTGAGTTCCACTGAGTTCTGCTGAGTGCAGAACTGCTGCTGCTTTCTCATCACTGTCCTGCCATCAAAGAAGTGTTAAATCTAGAAGCTGAGAAAAAAAAATGTCAGATTATAGCCATTTCTTACAAAAATAAAAAAATACTTCTAAGGAAAGGCCCTGAATTACAGCAGATGACAGCAGAAGCATCTCACTCCATACCGTATCACTCTACAGATCAGTTACTTACACTTTTTCAACAGAGATGCCAAGTTCTTTAGCTGCAAGCACTGCAAAATATTCATAACTGTCCAACACAGCTTTATCGTGTCCTTTAACTAAAATGGACAATCTCTTGTACAGTGTTTCTGGCTCATCTGAAATAGACACCTGCATTTTTGAAGGAAGAACAAGAGTTACCACACCATGGTCTCCTTAAATACTGCATACACTGTGTATTTCCTTAGCCTGCATGCCCCGTTTGTAAGAGAGCAAAAACACCCCACAACCTGTTGAGCTGCTTATTTTAGTTTGTCTAACAGTGTCTGACTGTATTACCTTGACTGACAGGTCTCACTCTAACAGGAAAGGCAAAGTGTGAAGAGATAGCTAACTTCTGAACATTTAGGTAAAATTTCTTCATCCAAAAAAAAGGAATGCCAGATAGATATAAGGAGGAAAACGCTAAGAACGGCTAGAACGAAAGTCATTGTTGAAGCAAGTCTGGAACAATATTTGTATTTTATATAGCAGTGTGTAAATACCCAAGAGATTGCTTGGGTATGGAAATTAATAGAACATTATAGACAGCAACCAGAATTCTCACTTTACTAAGTCAGCTCCAAGACTACTTCAAACACAGCAGTCTCCCCCATTTATTTGTGTATTATTCTTCAGGTTAAACTTACAACTTAAAAGTGTAAGTTTATGGCTTTCAGTTAGAGCATCAATTTCTGATGGTCTGGGCTTGCTGATTAACTGGAAGAGCTTTAATGAGTGCAGAAGTGCTGACTTTCCCAGAGGTTCACTCCTAGGCAGTTTAGCACACTAAATCCAGCATGTACCAGCCACAGCAGGAAAACTGGATCAGCACTGTACATCTAATACTGCCTGTCAGATGTTTCTGAAGCCCTTGTCAAAAGGCTGCTAAGCTGCTGCAGGCATTGAACTGAATATGGCCAAAATGTTGGTATTTCATAAGAGTTACAGCTGAATAGAAAAGGGGGAAAGTTACTGAGAGGCAACTGTGAGCTACAGAAATCTTCCTGGCAAAAAAACCCAACGAAACAACCAGAAAATCTCAAATAGCAGTAATCTAAATTATTTTTTTCTCTATGATAAATATGACACCACTCAGACCTTCAAAAAGCTGCAAGATAAGAATTCAAGTGTTTCTTAATGTCCTCTTTATTACTAAGTTAATATACAAAATACTGTGTTACAGAACACTCACCAAAGGATTAGTCTTAGGCTCCTGTGTATCACCATAGGATCCAGACAGCCGTGCTCCCATCAAGTTGGAGCTCCTAGAAATAAAGTCATGGGAAAAGCATAAAATAAGTTGTTAAAGTTGGATTTCATTTTTTCAGGGACTATGGAGGAGCAGTGGAAGGAGGAGGGGCTGTTACACTTACGGAAGAAAATACTGCTTTTGCATAATTCTGCTTGCATAACTGACAGGAAAAGCTGATCCCTGTATAAAACAGATAGGTTATGTTGTGGGGTTTTTCCCCAAACCAGAAAGCAGCCAGTTAACACAGGTTTATTAAAGATTACTTTTATGCATGCCAAAGCACAGCATGTTCCTAGGCACTGATTTAACAAGCTAGGAAGTTTGCTCCATTGGAAAACACAGGAAAACAGAAGCATGGAAATGTATTTCAGAATACAATAGCCCTAAAAAAAGAAGCATGTTAAGGGCACAGTAACAGTATGCACTTACTACTGAGGCACTTGAATAGCAATCACAAAGCATATTTTTAACAGAAAAATGTATTTTTGTGGCATCGGAAGCTATTTCTGTATACAATAATATTTTCCCTTTGGTTTTACTTTCATGGTACAATATATGTAAGTTTTGTCAAGTGACAAGCCTAAGTAGGACTTAAAAAAGCAACTGAAAAAAGTATCCTATAAATGCAAAAATTTAGTCTGTGAATTTTACTGGAAATTTACTGTTTTTTTCAGAAAAAAGTTCCTTGTGATTTTGGACACTTGTTATTTTGAAGAGAACATTTAAATAGAAATACTTATTACAAGTAAATGAACCATGTTTAAAAGGTAACATGATTTTCTGTGTTAGAAAAGGAATATAGTTGTTCATCATGTAACATTACTATCTTTCATACTAGAATAATTGTTCCCTTCTGAACATTATGTGTCTTCTAGCTTCCTTCCACTAATTCTTAATTTGGCAAAATTATAGACTGCTCAAGGGCAGGTGGGGGGAATGGAACTCTTGCTTAACAGAACCTCAGGGCTGCAGCAGAATGCTGAAATCAAGTTAGTTACATATCTTGCCCCTTGATGCTCTTTTTTGACATGTGCTAGAATCACAGCTTTAAGAGATAAGACAGATACCCCTCCCAAGAGTTTTATATATATATATATATATATATATAACTCTTATATATATAGGAGTTATATATAGTCTATATATAGTTATATAGACTGTTTAATCAAATAATCCAGACTTTACACTTTTGCAGGTAATCTTACTGTAGTTGCCCATGGGTATGCACAACTGACCTTGTGATGCTATGATGCTAACCTTTTCCAGTATGCATCATACAGAGCAAAGCTGTTTCCTGAAGTCATTCTGCCTCAGTTGCAATTTATCCTACAAATGCTGCTTCCAGTAAAGATGACTGCAGGAAGAGGCAGGGGAGATTTCTGTTTACAAAACTGACTATGGTACAAATGCCTCCCCTTAAGCAATCCTTTCAAATCCAGATCTTTACAGAGAATGTAACTACTGTTACATTCTTTAAGTGCATAACAAAATAGGCAGTTTTAGGAGCACTGAATATTTGTCACTGTAGTTGATATTCAGAAAGTTTCAAAGTTTATGTTGGGAACTACCTGAATCTTAGTACCTAAAAGTAGTGAAATACAGCTAGTAATTGTCTAATAACATCTAATAAAACAGAGGGACAGGAGGGTATACAGGACAAGGAGGGATGGCTTCAAACTGAAAGAGAGTATGGGTAGATTAAATATTAGAAAACAATTCTTTCCTGTGACAGTAGTAAGACACTTGCACAGGCTGCCCAGAGAAGCTATGGATGCTCCATGCCTGGGAGTGTTCAAAGGCCAGGCTGGATGGGGCTCTGAGCAACCTGGTCTAGCAGGTGTCCCTGCAAATGGCAGGGGGTTGGAAATAGATGGTCATTAGGGTCCCTTCCAATCCAGGCCTATGATTCTATGACAAAATTATGCTGACATTTTCACCTCAATTCCCTTTCCCTGAAGTCAGAATGCTGCCTTCCTTCCATTCAATGCCAATATGAAGCACAGCAACAATCACCTGACACCACTTCAGGAAGCAGACAAGCCCATGAGCATAAAAGACTATTGTGTGCAGGGCTTAAGCTGTTTGTGCAAGTACAAGTGACACAGAATCTGACCCCAGATGACAAAAGTAATGCTATTAACTGTAATAATAACTGAATTTTTTATCTGTTTTGGGTTTTTTTATGCATGTGCATATGCAGTCTATGCTATGTATTATTTTACTTGTAACTGCTTGACCTGGTAATAAGGATTTATTGTTTGCATGCAGAAATATATGCACTTATAGTGTACTGTGCTATGTGGTTTTAGGTACAAAAATTTCAGTCCTCAAGACATAAAATTAATAAAATAAACCCTAATGGAACAGTAGAGTCCTATCCCACACACTAAGGTCTGCAGCCTTTCCAATATTCTGATTGTGCATGTTATTCCTACCACATGCCATCTCCCTTTGTTACGAACCAAGCAGACACGCATCAAATCACAAGTTTTTATAACATTAAATTAAAGGTGCTCTATGCAAATTTTAACAAAACAATACACTCAGGTGGTAGATATGGCATTCAGTGGGCAGGAATTCATAAATACCTTCATGATGTGCTCTTGCTAATGGCTATCATAGACGGTGGAAATGACAATCAAAGACTACAACACAACAGAACCAAGACTTTGCACAAAACATAAATATCCCTCTCCTAGTGCAAAACACCCTTAATTTTGTTTGGCTGAGAGCCTCTGAAGTGTCAGGGGGAGACAGATGTCTGCAAAGCAAGTCCAGAACACACGGCATACACAAAAGACAGTTTAGGGCTTCAGAAAATCAAATTTTCTCAATTTGAGAGAAAGCAGTTACTGTTTTAAAGTCCAAACTAGCAAACATCGTCAGTGCAATATGCTCTCCTATTATTTTGTAAGTTCTAAGCTTTGAAAATTTTAAAACTAGAAACTCGCCTAGCACACGGCCTCCAAGTCACCTAATCTTCACTATCCTTTCCACCCGGACTAACTGCGGGAAAACCACAGAACTGCAGGGAAGAGTTCTGAGGGACTCGCCAGGCGATGATGGCGTGCAGTCCCACGCTGTACAGCGCCAACCCTCCCGGAGCCCAAAGGGTAGCATTTGCCACGTCCCCCTTTCCCCACTCCCCTCAGGAATGAAGACGCCGAGGAAAAGGACGAGGAAGAGGACGTGGCTACGGCGTCCCCTCTCCCGCCACACGCCGCACCTGACACAGCCGCCGCCACAGCCACCCCGCCGCCATCTTGGCTCCGCCCCAGCCCGCCCTGCATCGCCCGGAAGGAGAAGAGCGGCCGTATCCCGCACCTCCTTCCCCCGCAGGGGAGGCTCAGGCCGCGGGGCAGCGCTCCTGGGTGTGGAGGCGAGCTGGGAGCTCGCACGGCGCGAAAGGAGCCGTACAGCCCCAGCTCAGCTCCCACCCCGCTTCCCGCCTCTCCCGAGCGCGGCCTCAGGGCAGCACCGACGCAGCGGCTCCCCCTCAGCCGCTTCCCGCCGACAGCGGCCGCCGGTCCCCTCACAGGCGCTCCCCGTCCTGTTCTCTAGGAATCGTTTGAAAAAAACCAAAACAAAACCAATTACACGAACCCTAGTTTTCAACCTTCTCCCCGCTTTTAAAATATTTTAGAAAAGGATACAAGCCCATAAGAGCAAAACCCATCCGACTATTTTACCGAAATACAAAAATGTCTGGAAACAGCACATAAACCCCTTTCTTCTTTACGTATACAAATAGCGGTTAATAGTACAACACAGCTTCTGATCGGTACCAAATCTTTAAAGGGGGTGGGGAAGTAAGTAGTAATTTATGCCACTAAATCATCCTTAAATACACACAGCCAGGTAGGCAGTGTAAGTGAGATTAACCTAAAATTGAGTGCAAGTCAAATGCTAACAACGGGCACCTGAAACCAGCATAGATCACAAGCTCTATCAAATGTATATATTTTTTTATTTTGTTACTTCCTCTGCCACCTAAAATTACAGTTCGCTTTTTACACTAAAACGCCTAAAATATTTACACAACCATCTTCTAATAAAATAACAGTTAAATATTGAAAATAAGATTTTTCTCATAAAATATGTTTTCTGTATGTACAGGTTTTATCAAAGAGGACTAGCTCCAATAATGAAGTTTTCCATCATCAACCATCAGCAAGAAAAGAAGTTTCTGAAACAAAACTATTTCAGCTCACGTACAAATAGTCAGAACAGCACAATTAACATCAGCCAATGCAACACTTAATAATGACAAAGTCAATGTTTGAGGCCTAAATAATGTACTGCTTAGGAAATGTGCATTTCTTTTTTTTCTTTTTTTTCTTTATGAATAACTTCTTTGGTTATCGTTGTTCTATGATATTCTTGGCTGTACAATACAACAGCACCCAATTAATGTTACTTAACCAGGTGTATGTATGTATGTGTGTATACATATGTATTTATAGATACTAAGTTTAGCACAGGTCTCATCCAATTGTTACTAAAAAAGTGCCACTGTCACTCTTTAATATAGAGCTGCTCTTCAGAATCAAGCTCCTAAGTTTCTACTGTATTTCAGCCAGTTCTTCAAGCAGAACTCTGATTTCAATCATAATTTTGCTTAAACAGGTTTTAACCACCAGGAACTGAAAAACTGTCCAATTTCCAGTGTAGAGGTTTCTCACAAAGATCCTTTATTAACAGTTCAAAATTATACAAGCTTGGGAGAAGAAGAGTAGACTCTGCTGGGCTGTTTCTAACAGAGGCTCCTGAAAGCCAACACATTTTAATGCTCACAAAAGCCTCCACTTTGCAAACCACAAAGACTTGCACTATCTATGAGATTTTTTTGTCAGCAGGTCTCACTGGTGGTACACAGCTGAGCACCCAGACTGCTGAACCTGGGTTGCATATGGCAATAGTAAAAGTAAAATGTCACAGCATGGACAGGAACTGCTGGGGAATGTGCCGAGTGGCAGGTTGGGGAAGAAAAGGCTGCTGCTGACTGATCTCCTGAAGCTCAAGGGTATAGTGAGTGAGAACATCACCTCTTACGTGACAGGAGTGAAATTCCACCCACTGGTCAAACCATACCACAGAAACCTCTGGAAACCCCCCCCCAAAACATTAAAACAACCACATACACAGGAACTTCACTAACCGAAAACTAAGAAGTTATTTCCATTCTCCTGAAGAGTTGTTCTTTAGCATCAGAACATTTGACTTAAGTAGAAACTAATGGTCATTTGGCTTTACTTATTTGGCTTTGACAGAGAAGGCACCTCTCTCTGTCAGTGGGTCTCACTGGTTCTGAACTTGTGTGATCCAGTAACTCCTATAAAAGTGTTGTGATTTACCCTCATTTTGCATAGTTAAACAAGGATAACAAGTAGAAAATAAGACCTACCATCCCTCAGATTATGGTGAAGGTATTAGGAATATGGCAAAAAGAACCCAATAAAATAAAACCTAACCCATAAAAAAACCCCACCCAAACAGACCCGAATCCTAGATCTGAAATACGTCTTATAACTATAAAGTTAACAACAGTCCTCTACTGTGCAAAATTCACAAGAAAACCAGTGCTGCTGCCTGTGAGCACTCTGCAATCAGCATTCACATTCTGTAATTAAAGGTCCACTCAACCTAACTCCATTTCTTCTTTAATTTTTTTATTCTGCAGCTTACAATTCTTTCGAGATCCTGTTTAATCGGAGAACCAAATCTAAATTTATATAAACTGTGTCAGGTGTCCAGCATGTAGATCGGAACCTAAGGGAGGAGAAATAATCATTAAACAGCAACATCAACTCACCTTTGCAGCATGTTTATAATAAACAAACAGCAGCTGAATTTGATGTAATGAAGAGGAATGAAAATGGCACAAGAATAACACATTATACCTAGGTGCTGAAAGTGTATCAGTTTCTTTTCCAATGGCAAGAATGCTTCCCTGTGTTTGCCTGGTGAGAGAGCAAGCATTGCTCAAGCACACTCCCCAAAAACCACCGAGATGGCTATTCCACAGTGTGATTTATTGTCATGGGACAATATTTCCAGTGCAATCTGATTACCAAGGCAGCGTTTCTGATTCAGTGTTCCCATCAGAGGATGTGAACCACAGAACAATCATTTTCTTTCTTCAATCCTTGAAATTAGGTAATTTTAAAATCAGCAGATCAAAACCTTGCTAAAATGGAAGGTCTAAAATGTCCTGTGTAACCAAGACAGAACTGAAAATGAACTGTGATATTACTAACTCTTTCACAGTTAAAACCAGATTTTTTTTTTTTCCTCCATCTCGCCTAAAATGGCAGTACAAAGACAAATAATGTAATCATATCTTTAAGAGAGATGACATTTACTCTCTAGAAGATGCTGGAAATGATCCAATATAGGCAAAAAAAATGTTTCATCAGAAGTGTGTGAAATTTATTCTTGTAATGGGGGTAAAATGAAACTTGGAAGAGTTAAAGACTAAAGATTCTACCAGGACCATCTGGTAGGAACTGATAGCAGAACCATGAACTTCTGTAATTAGTGGCCTTGGAAGTTATCAGCAAAAAGAGCTCAGATAAAAACAGCTTATAAGAATATTTGTACCAATTATTTATTTCTTCCCCCAAAACACAAATTAATAAAAAAAAAGGGAAAAAAGCAGATTTTTTTTTTTTCCTCGACCTGGATAAAAGAATTATAATTTTCAACAGGTAGTTTACAATCAGTGGGAATAAACAAGCAGTCCAGGTTTCCTGATTGATCCATTCAGGGTGTGCTCAGTAGCTGTCTATCAAATGACTTTATTTACAACTCAGCATCATCCTGCAGTAGATCTGGATCTTCATCATCCAGTAAGAGGTCAGCATCCATAACTTCATTCTCTTCCATGACATCACCCAGATCCGGAACAACATCATCATCAATGTCACCAACATTTTCAACGTGTTTAACCAAACTCATGTGATCCAGGGGGATCAAACTATGCCCAGCTGGCCCAGTAGTTCTTGCAATAGTGGCTGCCATTTCTGCTGCCACAGCAGCTTTCTGAGCCTTCTGCCTTTGCTGTTCTTCTTGTTGTCTGTGAGTCTTCATATGAGCATTGCGGCTTTTGATTTTGAAAAAGACCCTAAATTTTAAAGGGAAAAAAAATCAGATTAAAATGCACTGCTTTTGATGAAGTGAGCCAAAAAAGACTCAACAACTTATCAGTACATTTGCTTCCTTGTCCTGAAATAGCAGTCAGTGAAGTCTGCAATGCCATGGTGTGAATTTCAGGGACATATTACCAGATTTATATATCCTGATGGTATCAAAATGGCCTACTCTGATTTTGCCAGAGGTAGTTTGTAGCTCCCATACCTGCTTCAGTGTCTATGCACATCCTAATTTTCACTCTATTGGTTTCACAACCATCTTGCACGACAGGGAAAATGTGAAGGATTACCATGTTAGGATGGACAAACTCAAGTAGAGAAACACAGAAAAAGTTTCCCACTGTCACATTCAAGTCTGCGATGAAGCAGGAAGCTGGTATGTCAGATGTAGAAATTCTAGCAGGTAAATGGGAAATAGGAGTAAATACTGCAGGGGGCATGTAAAATGTCATGCAGACCTACCTCTGAAAGTTTTGGTAAGAGAACATATCATCTAGGGGGCAAACTTCTTCCGAGACAATCAGAACAAAATACAAAGTTTTTTCACAGCACTGCTGATCTGGAATCTAAACAGGCAGAGGCGATGCCGTACTGCAGACAGTCACACTTACTTGCCACACTCCTTGCAAGGAAAAATTGTCGTTGGGTCGGTCTCGCCGCTTGTTGTGCTGTGGGCAGGTGAGCTCTTGATGGAGCAGTATCCGCTCTGCGTACCAGATTTCTGCTTAGTTCCGGGAATGGTGCAGCGTGTTTTTGTCACCTGGTTCGTACCTCCGTGAATGCGAGCGTGGCCATTCAGCGCTTGTCGGGAACTGAACACCTGGCAAGGAGTGGGGTGGAGGGGAGGGAAGAAAAACACACAAAACAATAAACCCCATGAAATCACAAGAAAACAAGGAACTGCAGAAAGTAGGATGCTGAATGCGTATCACAAAAGAACAAGTGTACAGGTCTAATATGCACCATCTACTCACTCAAATGGTGCTTGCTTTCAGCAATATACCACTATAGTTGAAGATAGTCACAATAAAACAAAGCAGTGAGCTATCCTATTATTAAAACTGTAAAACCTAACTGGAGCTGTTGCCATACAGTATTTCTAGCTGGTACATCATCTCAGAATTCAGTTTTCTGAATTCTAGATCAAACTGCTTATATTTTGTGGGGTGGGAATTAAAAGCAGCCAAAATCACAATTCACTGGCCTACACATACAACCACCACCACCACCTCCCTCTCCCCCTTAAATATACCAAACACACGTACAGCGCCACAGTTTGGCATTTCACAGATGAAGGAGGATGAAGACAGTGAAAGACCCTGAACGGCAGGTACATCTATAGGTCCAACAAGAGAGATTGCTGGTGGGTCAGGTGATTTCTGCATTTCCCTTTCTTCCTTTCTGTCTTCTTCGATCTCCTCATCTTCCTCTAACACTTCCTCTTCTCCACTTGTCTAAAACAGACAGCGCATTTAAGGAACACTAGAAATATGGGCAAAGATAGACAGCACAGATAGTAGGGCATACACAGTTCTGGAACAGCATATTGTTTAGTCACGTGTGCTTTCCAATATCAGTATTTCTTCCCATCCTGAATGAACTTCTGGTCTTACTGGAGGGACCACCCCCTAATGGATAAGCTATAGCACATAAAGCTTCTTTTGCAGTACTCCAGACAAGACAGCCTCTGTGTGTATTAGGGAGCTGTGACTCCAAAGATCTAGATGTCAGGTGCAGTGCTGTCCTCCTGCCATCAGAAAGGCCGTGTACACTGTACTTGTAGTCAAGTTACTTTAACAAAACCCCAAAACATCCAACCAAAAAAACCCCAACCCACAAACCAACACATCCCAAGTGGTATTTGTACTGGAATGTTAGAGCAGCCTTTAGGAGCACACTCAGGCACAGGGATAATTTACAGAGCTTTCTCTGGACTACAGTTAGATAATGCACTTTTATCTGGTTGCAGTCCAGCCACACAAATCTTGGTGTAGCTGAGGTAATGAAATGTTCATATAGAACATAACGTAGAGTTATGGAATAATTTCTATTGGAAGATACCCATGTCACCTAATTCAACCTCCTCCTCCAAACAGGACAAACAGAAATTATCAAGTATTAAACTTCTCATCTTCTTTCAGACTTACCAAGCATTCATCTCTTTTCTTCTCTAAACGTGTTCTGTGTTTCCGTCCCAAACGCAAGATTTTCTTCCATGTATAGTAGTATTCCACACATTGTGCAACTGTCTTAGACTTAACCTGTAGTTAAGGAATTGCAGAATTCCTTAGTCCAGTCTTAATTTTTTGCTTTCATTCAACACAATTTTAATATATTCCAAGAGGTTTATTCCTCAAACATTCAAATGAGGAAAAAAAAAAAAAGCAGTTTGACTGCAACAGGAGTATTATTGTAGAATAATTATTTTTTAAATTTTTTTTTTCAGTTAAATTTATGTTGACTTTTTCAACTCCAGTAGGTTTCTCTGGGATTCTCTAAAGTCCAGACAGAAAATTACTCAGAATGTACTCTTGTAGCTCAGTTATACAGTACCACTGAGAAATCCAGGAATTAAGACTTAAGCATAAACCCACATATTTTTCAACATTTGAGCTAATGAGTAGGGAGGGTACTGTGCCCTGAGATTTATAACTTTGTCCTTTCTGCTTTGTAGCAGACCATGAAAAGTAAGCCCAAACATGTTTTCTCATTAGTAACAGGTTTCAACCCTTTTTGGCACCAGGTTCTATGCCACTGACTCTGGTACCTTGTAACAAATTGCCAGAGAACACCAAGACGATAATGGAAAACCACACTTGTCCCATTCATAAAATGCCATGATTTGGATTCCAGGTGTGAAAACTTTCACATGTAATAACAAGAGGAACAAATTTTATTTATTTATAACTGTTTTTTACTGGTATGTAATGCACAAGTACATGCAATGACTATACCACTCTTATCGGTGTTCTTGTAACCACTGCTGCCTCTATGCCTGCAATCAGCTGCTCTGGTACTGGAGGGATAATGAACAGAATAGAGCAAAAGGAAAAAAAAAACTCCAGAAATTGCTAGAATAGAAATAACCTTACCATTTTCTGTACAAATATGAAATCTTTGCTGTAGGTGGACAACGCCTCTTTGAACAGTCTCCTTTCTTGATGTGTCCATTTGTCAGAGCCTTAAAAAGAAAGTGAAATCATTATGAACGATAAAAACTCACCCCCTTTATGTTGATGCCGTATCTGAAATGAGAACCAGGAAGTCTCAGGCACGTGAGTGATTGCCACTACCCAAATACAAGCATGGCTGTACTGACTCAGACCTAAAGTCCATCTAACCGGTATTTGGTCTCCAGCAGTGGTGACAGGCAGTTGCCTAGGAAACAGTAAGATCAGGGCAAGCAAATACGGTACATCTCCCTAATTTTTCCTAATCTCTGACCACAGGGGATTTCCTGAGTCTGTTGCAATTTGCTTATTTAGTAACTACCCTTCTAAGTGGCTGAGCCACTCTTCCTTTCAATCAATTAAACTTCTTGTACCCAAAACATCCTTTGCCAAGGAGTTTCACAGGTCAGTGGACCCTCTGCATGAAGAACCATCACTCTTTCTTTGTTTCTTGGCTCCCAGTAGCTTCACTGGATGACCCTTCATTCTTTAAGTGGAGAAGAAAGTGAACCCAACCTTGACCACCACCTGCATGCTATTCAAAATTCTGTGCCCTATCACTCCCAAACCTTTGATCACTACTGCTATCCCCCTCTGAACCTTTTCCAATACTAAAACATTCCTATAAAGACAAGAAGACCAGAAAGGCACACAAGTCCACATAAAAACTAGACTTTCACCGTAGCATCACCATGTGTTCTATCCTCTTAGTGCTTGACTACTTTTTAGCTGTTGTAAAATACAGCTGATACTTTCTTAGAACTAGCATTACAATCCCAAACTTTCATTCTAATTGAGAAGTACCACCACAGAGCTCATAATTTCCTATGTAAGGCTCGAATTGTTTATTCCCATGTACACCACTGTACATTTGAAGACACAGAAGTTCATATATCCTTTTGTTCTCCTTTTGTAAGATCCTTTTTTAAGATCCTTTTGTAATAACCTTTTGCAGCTCTTCACTTGCATGGTTTGGGATAAGACATTTGAATCCTCTGTGGCAGAAGTCACAAGTAGGTAGAGACCGTAGCAATGTGCAATATGCACATTGTGGTTTTTATCATTTAATGGAAGTTGTATATAGAACTTCTGAATATTGTTATTCTGTGTTTGGTCCCCTGGCCTAACTGCCCATGAAAATGTGAAATCAACATTTAAATTGAACTGAATTTATGTTTTCTCAATATTAGTCAAACAGAAGGAAAACAGGATTGCTCTACTGCATCAAAGCAGTATTCTGTTTGTTAGGAGTGGGCAGAATTACATACATTAAAGGAAGGATATGCAAGTAGTCATAAAGTGGATGCCTTTGAAATGACTTACACTATGAGAAGATTCTACTTCAGTCTGAGAATTTCTGAAAAGTCTAAAACTTTTATGAAAAGAAATCCCTAATATTCTTGTCAATGTTACTACTCTCCATAAAAAAGCTTGTCTCTGCGCTGATTTCAATTAACTTGGGTCTTGGGACCACACATGGTGTTGAACTCTACAAGTTACTTTTGTCTAAAAAAACCATAAAAAATCAATGTTATTAACTACAAATGTTTTGTTTTTTAGCATCAGCTCCCAAGCTGCATACAAGCTCAGAGCAGGTATCTCATCATCCTTTATATGCTGAAAACTACAAAATTAACTTTTCTGAAACCTGTTTTCTGTAGGCTTTTCCAGTACTGGATATAAGTATGCATTAGTTATTTCCACAGAGATTTACACTTAAAGATCTCTTAAGCATCAGAGAATGGCACTGGCTTCAAGCCACGAGTTTTACTTATTCTGTTATCACCCAGAGATATTTCTGCTGACACACTGCCTTTCCATCTTTTCCCACTCTGAACCAGCATTATTTCCTTCTTACACAAGTCGTCAGTCATTTGCCTTTACCCTTCCTTTGTGTGGGGGTAAATGCACTCATTCAGTCCAGGTGGCTACTCTTATTATGCCAAAACATAACTTTAAAAAGCATGATGACACCGGGATAGCCTTTTTTTTCCCCCTAGTCATTCTGCTCTCCTGCCTGTACCCCACCCTCCAAAAAAGACAACACAATAAAAATAATAACACAGAATCACTTCCATGAACTAATTTTGTTGTATACCTATGGAGAATTTGGGCCTTGCATACTTTCCCCAATAGCTGTGGTATTAGCAGAGACCCTTATAGGATTATGTGGGTTAATTGGAAGTAACCTAATTAATAGAATAAATCCTGTGTAGGAAAAGAAACAGAAGAAAAGCTGTTTTTAACTCTGGTTGCTGGGAAACCACTTTTGCTCTTGTTAGCTTGAGGGAGATATAGAGAACGTGCATAGAGAGAGATCTGCAATGCAGCAAAAAGAATTTGGGGCTTTAGAATACAGAACAAATTATAAAGCTGATCTTTATGTTTAGATATTTATTCTAAATTGATTTTTACCTGCCATACTGTCTTTGCACTGGTTAACTGACATTAAGTATCTTCTAGCATTTGTGTGCTTTGGGTTGTAAAACTTGTGGGTTTCAAGGGGACTGTGTGTACACCCAGGGTGCCCCATAGAGAGGTAGCTGAAATCCACTATATACAACATATGCTGGATCTGCCCCACAACTCTGTCATACCACATACATGAAGCTTCCAGACTGCGTGAAGTGCCCTGTGTCAGAGACCATCTCTCCTGCAGTTCTCACCACAGAACTTCAGACCTGAGAAACTCCACTGTTGAAAGGAGAACAATTCAAGTGTTCGCACCAGTGCCCCTCCGGCATTAGGTAGGTGCTCCCTCTCTCTTCCTAAAACACCATCCTGACAGATGTCAAACTCTTAGGACAGAGATTAGAGTGCTCTTCAAAGGAGCCCTGGGCCAGCATGTCCAGCTCTCTTGCTTGGCACACAACATAAAATCCTCAAGTTTTACAAGTGGCTTCCCTCACAAGCCACCAAGTTTCAAAGGTGGGCTATTTGCCTGTACCCTCATTCAAAGGCAATGCTAAGGATGAGTTTGGGTATCTGTTGTTTGTGGTACTCCAATGAGTAAATACTCATGGGTAAGTGGCATGCTCTGTTTCAATGTATTCCACCTTTAAATGTGGCAAGCCTGAGAGCCATGATTTCTGAATATGGAGCAGAAAACATGAAGTTATCCCAAAATGATGCCACTTGAAGTCATATTAAAGCTATTCATGCACTAGATTGTGAAAAATTCTCATATGCCTCGAGTGGCTGATTATCAATCAGAAATAAACTGTTATTCAAGAGCTGCTGCAGAGTGCTAGAGCAATGCTGTCAATATAAGTTGTAATCACATGTTATATGCAATAGCCTTCGAAAGTAGTGCTTTGTCTTGTTATTTAATGGCACTTAAATCCAGACTGGTGAGATTTTATTTCATGCTGTGATAAGCACAATCCAACTTTCTTCCCTGCTTAAGAAATAGGGATTCAAAGGTGCCCATAGGTCTCAGTGCTAGTTACCAAGGATTAGTATCATCTCATGTGAAAGATTAAACAAAACAGTCTCTTGGCTCCTCCCTGAATCCCAATGAATTCTTTCTGAAACTACTGTGAAGTTGCTTTAGTAAAGACTGTTCCTTCTCTGCCACACAGGCAGGAATTTCTTATCTGCTCTGCTAATTGGATTGTTTACTGATGAAGAGGCTGTGGGATATCTCCGTGTCTTCCTGCTGTCATGCCCTTGAACTGTCTTACACATATGATTTGGTGTCATCTCTTCAGGCAAAAGATCCTGAACAAAGTTCCTGGCTGATGTCCTCCTTCTCCACTCATTCCCATGTTCACCCTCTGGACTGCAACAGAAATGCTATCACAGGCACCACTGCACCACCTCCCTCAGACAAAACCAAAAACCTGATGTTCACATTCATTCACTGTCATTATCAGCTAACATCAAACATGTTTCTGTTCTTGTTCTCAGGCCACAGGGTTAAGGAGTTGTTTTACAAAGACGTCTTGTAACTTGGAAGTCTTTCCAGTCTTTCCTCTTCAGCCAGGAAGTAGACTGCTTCTGTGCTTACCTTGCACATTGACTGTAACTGAAATGAGTACATGACCTTGGACACTGTGATTGACTGACCACCAGAAGACCCTTGGCTCATTTCCTATTGAGCCTGAACTGGAGATGAAGTTCTAAATGTCTTATGTAAAACCTTATTCTGTGTCTCAGCAGTTGTTAGCCACTACAATGCATTAAGCAGTAGCATGGGGGGCTGCAGAGGAGAGACATTTGCCATCTCTGCTCAGGTGACACAACTGAAGTCTAATGACTTAACACCACATTTGTATTTCACTTCTGGTTCACACCACAATGCAGTTCTTGCTGTGTTTTATGAAACAAGTCACCAACCCAGACTTTTTTTTTTACTAGATCCCCACACAGAGGCTCTGTAAGCAGTACTAAGATCCTAGTAATAGTTACAGCACTGCCTCTTTGGAAGGATGCTCATGATTATCATATTCATTTATTGTGCACCATCACCTCAGAAGAAGCAGGCAGGATGCCAGATTGTTTATGTACCAGAAAATTAAGATATTAGTGATACTAAATTATAAATAGCATCAGTTTTAAAATGAATTTTTAAATTTCAGTTTAAATCAGAAAAAGAATCACCTGAGGCAGTTTTAAATCCTTAGAATCCAACACAGCAACATAAATGCAAAGCTTCTGAACATTGTCAGTCATATATAAAACTGCTAAACTCGCAACAAACGGCTCTGGGAGCCTTGCACTGTCCATATCATCTCTATTCTATGCTGCCATCCCTGCAGCAGACAGCAGAGAGTGCAACGTGATCCCGTGCTCCAGCCTGGGAAGCCAGGCTTGGACTGTGTAACAGATAGAAAGATCACAATAAAACCTACCGGCATAGTGGTAATTTGCCAAAGGATGACACTTCAATCTCACTGGCTTTCTCAACAGCAGCTTTTCAAGAGCAACCTAAATGAAAAAGCAGGGAAAAACAAAATTAGGAAAAGCAATCAGCTGTGGCATAAAATTGCATTTAGAACACTATTTGGTATGAGGATATGAATTAATTTTCTCTCTTTTCTCTTTTCTGTCTTACAAAATTGTACCAAATTACTCCAAGGCCCATTAACATTGTACCTCACAGAAGAGCACCTAATGTGCACCTGTCCTGCCTTAATGAGCACAAATGTGACTATTACTTAGCAACTTCCAGCTCTTTCCCTCCCTCTTCTGCTTGCCACAAGCAAATACATTTATAGTGTTTGCCTCGATAGTGTTAATTAATACTAATATTTAGTGGTTGGTTTGAAAGCGTTAATATTTATAGCATAAAATATTTTACAGTATCTGTGTAGGTCAACATCTGTCAAGAGTGACTGCAAGTATAGCTAATTGTCCTTTAGATCAGGGAAACAGAGGATTTATGGATCTCTAAAATTTTTTCCCTTGAAAATGCAGACTCTCTGTAAAGCAAATTCCATATCCTGACATTCTCAGACTCCTCAGATACAGCTAACAGAGCCTACAGAAACTGGGACCCAAGCTAAAACCCACTGTATTAGCCAATCCAGTGAGACTCATTCCAGCCCCATGTTTTGTTGCATTTGGTTTCATATTGGCTTTCCAGGAACTGGTGCAAGGGGCCTTGCCTTTCCGTAACACTGGGCAAAATGGATGTTTTGCCTTAGTTAATAACATTCCCATCACTAAACTAATGCAAATATTTGAAATGCATTATTTATATAAGAACTGTGTGCAATTACCTCACAGTTCTGAACAAATAAGTAGATGTGATTGCTGCTCCAAAAAAAGGCTTTTTTATAAGGGCTAGAGGAGGACTAAGCTCTCTGTGACCAAATATAAAGCCTGTGAAATATCAGGGCTGGAGCAAGCACTGGGAGACATTCAAAGCCCCAAGGCTATAAACTAAGTAATCTTATCTATATGAAATATACAGTAAGCCTTCAGAGAGGCACTGCTTTGAAATTTAAATTTATTAGAGAATAAAGGGAAAAGTCATTCCCCAAAAATGTTACAGGATGTTTAAAGCATAATTTCAAATCAATCAGAAATCTTTTTTATATAACCATATCTAAATCCATTTAATAAAGCATGCTAATTTATCTGCAGAAGAGGATCATATCTCTCCTTTCAGCTTTTTATCTTACCATAATATCTCCTTTTGCTTCAAAGAGAGAGTGCAAAGCGTATTCTGAGTTAGTTCCTCCACCAGGTAACACACTGGAACAGCTCATATTTAAAAGGTCTTCCACTGTCAGAAACAAGTCAACATTTTACTGCTAATACAGTAGTAGCCTGTCAGTCAAACATCTGGAGCTAAGGATTCTGTAATGCTCCTCAAAGACTACATAGTTCAGGGCAAAAGATTCTTTCACACTTTTTCTCCTCAGCATCTTATCTCCTTGTTTTAGGATCACTGGGGAGAGGATGTAACAGAGCATGTCCTTGGGATGGGACAGGCTACTCAGAGCCAGAGATCTGCCTGTGAGTGTGATGATTTGCACACATTAGTGACATTGTTGGGCCAAGAAGACTCCAGCCAGGATGGAGAAAGAGAATAAACCATGTTAGAAGCAGGAAAAAATTCTTCTCAGGGCTGGTAGAAGCCACATTTCCTCTCAACTATGGTCACAGGACAGGCCCAGATCCATCAGCTGCCTCTCAGCTGTGACCTCTGCCTTTACTAGGCAGTTCAGTACCGAACTTCCCAGCAATGACCTTTCCCCCTTGGCTGCCAGAAAACAGTTCATCCAGACTTCCCTTTAAATGCCACTATATAATGGTGTTGCTCTGAACCTATACCACGTAGTTCTAGTCTCTTGCTCTGCACTCAGCAATTCTCATTATTCTCACTCAATATTCTCTTGAACGTTTTGTTCAGTACAGACACAAGAAATCAATGCGTATTTCTCCAACAGGCAAAGGCTGACGTAGGAACTTCTAAAATGGCAAGTCATTATACCTCTTTGTTGGAAGACTTTGTTCTCCAGTTCTGGCCATGGTTTCCAAACCAAAGTAGCCTTGTGCACATCTTTCTCCATCAGCAATCTGTCCTGCAGCTCAGGAATGTCAGCCTGGAACCTGGACCCAATATTGATTCGCCTATAAAGAAGAATAAATAAATAAGTATTCAACTACACAATGTGTAGAAAAAACGAAAGTCAGATTAGTGTTCACTTTATTTCAAACACAACTTTTATTGCACTGAAGTGGCAGGAAATTGTGTCAGATTGCTTTATGCAATGCTTTACTCCCAGTGGGATAAGTATTTTGAATACTAGAGAGAACTGATCTCTTGGGAAAAAACAAAAATTTCAATATGCAATTTAAGCCATACTGAGACATCATACCTTAGGGACAACCCAAGCTAGTTTATATGCATGACTAGCAAAGAGGCTAGACATCAGAAACAGTAAATTTCTGTTCCACAGAGAATGGTACTCTTCAGCAGAGAGCAGAAAGAGCCATTACTGTTGAGGGACAACCCTGCTGTACTTTGCCCTGGGGAACCTACGAGGTAACACCACCACTCCAAAACTCACTCTTAACATGTATATATATATATGTATACAAAAGCAAGAGTATTGGAATGGAATATTTTCCTCACAGTACTCTTCCCAGCCATAACTAACTTTGAGCCATGACACCTAAATCTTCCACAGCTATTTTGCTCCAAATGTCCTTACATCCCTCCTACCATCCACAGAAACATTAAATGAATCCAGCCCACCATGATATCAGGCAGTCGGATACTTCCTGCCTGGTTCAAAACACTTTAGGCCACGGGTTCTAGGTTGGATCTAATCTATAAATGTGGTGACAAAAAATATTGTTTTCCTTACGGTTCAACAGTCTGTTCTCCAGGCCCAGGCGTCACTGGAATGACACTTCCATCAATACTATCTGAAACAGAGATTGGAATTTGAGCATCACTGTTTTGCTGCTGATGACCCTGCCAGGCAGCACTGCCACCTCTCTACTAACACCAGCATTACTCCAGTCTACGATGCAAAAATGACCCTTTAACGATTTTTAGAAACAGACTAAATTTTTATAGGTGATAGAAATGTCTGAACTTGCAGAGGTTTCTACTGCCCTGATTCTGAATGATTACACACCTTTTCTTGTGAAGTACTAAACAATAAATACTTAACGTGAACCTCATGTCTCAAGCTAGGTCTTCTTCCACTTCAGAAGTCCCAGATGTAATGAAAGGCAAGGTGGTCCTTTCTTGAGGCAGACCACATGGAATTATCACAGCTTTATTGGCAGATTAGGCTCCTCTATTCCCTTTACTTCACAAAATCCAAGGCAAACTTGGATTTTGTGAAGTATGTATGGACTTAATATATATAAAATGGACATAAAGTGGACTTTTCCTGTGAAGTAGCAGAACTGGCCATGCATGTGAGGACACACAAAATCATGTGTGTCAATGTTTCAATGTGACATGAGAAGAGAGGACGGTGGTCTTGCCTTTGTACTGCTGCTCTGTAAATGCAATACTTACTAGACCGGCACAGGAGCACCCGTGGAGTGGGTGTCAGTGGAGTAAGTGGCAGCTGAGCATGTGATGTGCTGTGAGAAGAAGTGAGAACACTGCTGAAGAGACCAGACCCTTGCCGGACGGGACTGAGCATGGGTGGTGGAGTGTAGGGGGGCAGCTCATGTGTCCGGTCCAGCAGGTGATCGCCCAGAACACGGGGAGAACGAAGCTGACTCTGGTACAGAGTGGCACCGGAGTGGGACATGCTGAGGTTGAAGGAAGGAGGAGGTATGAAGAGAGGTTCGGGTCTGTGCCGATACTTCTTCTTGTCCTGCAACGGTTTGAAATTTTCTTCCAATTTTACAGCACTTGGATGAGGTTTTTTGCTAGTTTCCTAAATGAAAACACAGAGAATCTTATTATCCAGACATGCTTAAATGTGGTTTGCGCACAATCCTCTACAGCTCTGGGCAATGGCCCCAGAAAAGATGTTACCGCCAGGCAGTTATTCAGGTACCACTGTAACAACCCTGGCCAGTGCAGTATCTGGCACTACCTGGAAACTTCAGGGGAGTGAGAAAAACCAGGACAAATCACCCTTCACCTCCAGCAGCAATCTCTCTGGGTCAAGATAGGGCTGAGCCACAGAGGCAGGCATGGAGAGGCTGCTGTCAGCTTTAGAAAGTGCAGGGAACTGCTCTCCCAGACCATGAGTCTCCCATAGCCTTCTTCATTACTACCCAGACACTCTGGGCACTTGTGTTTGCACTGGTGGGAGATACTTCATTACCCAGTCACAGTTTACTAGAAACTTTACATGAGAGGTTTTCTAATGCATTTATTTAGTGAGACCAGGAAGGACACATGAGCTCAGTGAAATTACTGCAGTACTCAGCAGTAGGAAAGGAAGAAAAATGTAATAAATTCAAATTCTTTGCCTCTTATCACTACATTCCCATCAGCTTGATTACAGTCCAGCTGCAACAAATCTTGAACTTAACTCTCCTCTTTCCTTGGAGAAAAAAGGGTAGTAGATGACCACTTGGGAGGTTCACACACTGTTAACATGCCTAGAATTCGAATGTTCAAAATAATTTAATAACAAATCCCTAGAGTATACAGAAGCAGAAGGCACAGAATTTATGCAAACCTGGAATCGGAATTTCTTGGAGGAGTGGGGATAAGGTAGGAACAAACAGATCCTCAGGTTGTGCTTTAAGAACACACAAAAGCTGGTAGATGAACACAGTATTATTAAATGTACTGCTTTTAGGTATTTAGGCTGTAGGCCATCTTTAGAAAAAATCTGGGAAGCAGAAGAAAATTTTGACTTGTGTTACTCCAGAATGTCTGCATCTTCTGGTAAATTCTATGACTACATAAAACAAATTACTAAAATGTATGTTTAGACAACATACATCTTTACACCACGGGTGGTTCTTGAGAATCACATTCACCCAATAAAAATCATGTTAAACAAGCATTAGCACTGTCACCCTTTATCCCTTATGTTAATAAGTTCCAGCTTGAGGAAATGTTTTTGATTACAGAGGTCCTGTCCTCTTTGTTAGATCATGGCTGCATCCTCTCCAACAGCTGTTGACATTTTTTCTCTGAAAAAAAAATTAGTTTTGGAAGAGTCTTGCTTCTACAGGGAAGAAAATGCAGCTTTGCAGAGGATTATTTTTTTGATAATGGACATTCAGAGCAGTGGAAGTTATCTGGAATGACAGATAAAGTCCATCAAGATGGTGAACATTTAGCGTTCATAAAGCAGAAAGAGAGAAAAACCCCTAAACTCAAGGAAAAAAATCCAAACAACCCAAAACCTAAAAAAGAGACCCAGAAGGCCAGATCCAAGTCTTTGATTAAGGGCTCATTTTCTTCTGCTTTCCAAGTGTCAAAGAGCTGGTATTCCCTTCTCACAAGTGTAAAGCAAAGCAATGCAACATCTTCAGAAAGTCCTAAACACCTCCATCTCCTACACTGCTTCACCTAGAGCATACCTATGCCAACACTGCTTTCCAAAAAGGTCACACTGAGCAGTAAAGGAGATAGTGGTGTCCATGGGCTCTCAGTGCAGAACCATCCCTGAAGAATCACCCTACTTTTCTGAAGTTCTAATAACTGACTCCCATCCAGAATGCATACTTTTGTGCCCTGCTGCTGCACCTTGACAGATCCACTCTGGACAGACCCTGATGGACCTCACTTGACTGCTAGCCTCAGCTTACCATCCTGTAGCCTTGCTGAATATTTAGTTCCTTTTTTGCTGTTTCAGTTTACTGATTCCATGAGTTTTGTGGGAGCTCTTCTAGACAGCTCAGAGCACGGTATAAATAAATGCAACACAGCTTCAGTTCTTTGGTATTAAAAAAAAAATATCTCTCTCCAATGGCACAATCTTTTTAGAGAAGAGAAGGAAACTGTGAATCTTTTGATCTTTTAATGTTTCCAATGCTACTGCTTATATAAAAAGATAGGGTCCAGAGAGGGAACTGTGTGAGTTTGGTTTTCTTGTGCAAGAACAAAGACCACAAGCATAATTTTGAGGGAGTGAATGTGCATTTCGCCAAACACTGGCAGATTTAATCACAGTCACTTTACATACGTTGCAGAAATACACAAGCCCAAGCCACCTACTCTGGTGTCTCTAGAGAAGATCTCCCACTCAGAGCTTGAGGATTCAGAAAAGACTGTCCCTATTCTTTAGTGGAACTAGAAATAGAAATGAAAAATTCTACTGCTGAGTTACTAAGTATTGTGAAATGACGGCTTTCACAGTAAAGTGGAAGTTTATATGTAAAACCTGTGTCTTGAAGAGAAGAAAGATTTAATACATACATGTATATATTATATATATATTTTTTAAATTAGTGGGTATGTCTGCATGAAGAGTCAGGAGTGGATATTGTAAGGAGTCGCCCATGCTGGTATAATATGCTGACCCCTCATTTGTCCATCAGGCTTGCATGGAGAAGGAAAATCAAAAAATATCACAAGGATATTTTCTCTGCATTGTACAGATAATACCATACAGTACTTATACTCCCCAGTAATCCCTTATCATGGCGTAGTCTGCCAAAATGGATTTGAAGGAATGAGCAGAATCCATTTCTACACCGGAACATGAAATAAATATTGCTTGCTCCAGGACTCCTTCAGGAAAATAATAATGACCATTCTCACATCTCGTTCAAGCACTCATCAATTCCTCATGCTGCCTGACCATTTCAGTTTTATAAGCAAAATGAAAGCATTAACCAAAGCTATTTTTCCTGTATCAGAAATCCCAGTGATTAACCCTTAGAGTTGATGCATGCAGGGAGAAAGGGAAAAAATTACTTCACTGCAAAACTCCGAATTTCATATTGCTTAGAGCACACACTCTAAGCACTGCGCTCTCTTTAGCTGAAATGAGAAGCACATATATCTGACTTCAGAAAACAGGAAGAAATAAAACTGCCAATTTTAAGCAATAATGTAACAATGAAGCAGCCTGAAAAGGGAAAAACAAAACCAGTAAAAAGATAGTAAATCCCTTTGTTCTAGTGGGATGAAAGAATATCACATTCCAATTTCAAATTATTTGTTTTCAACTAAGATCTTGATTCCTCAGCAAAGGAAAATTAATATTTTCAAATGATTGAGGAAAAAATGCTCTTATGCTACAGGATTTTATTTTATTTATTAGGAATCATAAAGATTCCAGAAAATATTCTAAAATACAGATGTTTTAGAAAGCAGCAACACTACAAGCAAAGGGATTTAACAAGCACAGGACAGTTAGTGGCAAGAAACACAGCACTCACAGAGGATGAGCAGGGGTTGGCCATTTTTGGACTGCACGGTGGAGAGTAAGTCATCTTCACGAGAACGGGCATCTCGTCATCTGACACAGAGTTGGCAGGCTTGTCTGTGACTGTGGCAGTGCTGGCAGAGGGCTGCGTGCTGGGCTCAGGTGACAGAAGCTTTACAGGGACAGACACTGGCATGACGATGGGCGCGAGGCCATCCACCTCTTTAGACAGCGGCTGCTGTGGTGGTTTCTCTCCTTCATCCTGCACAGACAATTAAAGGCTTTCAGCCTGAGTGAGGGAGCGCTGCTTCTGGATCGATGCACTACGCAACGTGTGCACCGTGGCTGAAAAGAAGTGGCCAGGGTTACAAAACACACGACAGTGTTCCTTCGTGGGACTTTCTTTGCCTCAAATTCGGTCTTGGTGACAAATAATGACCTGAAACATCTGTACAAGGTAACTTGCAGGAGGGGAGACAAACGTGTCTCTTTTTATCACTACAAACACAGAATTCTCCATTATCCAACTAAAAAACACAAACTGCGGAACTCTGGTAGCTCTTTGCCTTCCTATGGTAGGTATTCCCTGTTAGGACAGAATTTCTAAAATATCAGGATAAAGACTGACTGACAAGGCAAGTTATTTTTATTCAGAACAATTAAAACACATTTTTGGTTTGGTATTTGTTGATACCTATACAAGTAAAACACTTTGGAAGAAAGCTGTCAAAGATTCAACAATTCTGTTCCTCCAGTTAAAGCCTGGGAAGGCTTCCAATAAATATTCCTTAGTCATCCAAGTAGTTCAAATGAAAATAAGGAAGACTTGATGTTCCTGGTATTTCTAATATAATAAACAAACACGAGGAGGAAAAAAATTAGACACTCCTGACGTGACTTGGTACGTGTTCTGTAACGTGCAGAGAAACAGAAGGACAAACACTGATCTGTCCTCCACCACTGCCTCTGTCTTCAAAACAAGACTTATGGCCTACAAACTAACAGAATTATGTGCATTTCCACTTCCATGGGGTATGACATAAAACAGTGCTGAGAAGGACAAGTTTTGACAGCAAAGCAAAGCATGGCAAAGCAAGCAAACATCAACACAAAAAGATTGTGCCAAATACTGAAGTCAAATGGACTGCTACCTGTTTGAAGTTAGGAGATGCTCTTACTCCTCCGTGTGACCTCATGTGACCATTTAGAGCAGGCAAACTCTTAAATTCCTTCAAGCATATTGAACACATTAGCTTGTTCTTCGCATCAGGTCTCTCAGGAAGTGTTTCTCTGTTTTGGCCACTGTTTTTATTTTCATTTTTTTAAAGCGTGGAACAGAAGAAAAAACATTAGTTTGGCATGTTCCCTTTGTTGCAGAGGGAGCTTTTTTAATCAGGGAAGTTAATAAAATTTTACAGCTATATGGTAATGAAGTAGCAAGTAAGCACGTGGTGACTGCTGTAGAATACGTGGCAAATAACCTAGATCAGCTGCTCCCAAGATGGGGAAAAGGGAAGTTTTGAGCAGGACATGCTCATCAATACAGAAAACCTGAGACCCATGAGATCTACTATGACAGACCCGCATTTCCCCCCTTGTGACAGCAGTTAACAAGCACTTGGACACAATGCCTCTAATTTACAGTAGGCAACCATGCTGATGAACACCTTGACCCTTCAAAGGAGAGACCTTAAGGAACAAACAGAAGATCTCTGCCGCCAAAGATACAAATCCAGACTACACTATCCCTTTTCATATAAATACAACACTGGAGCTCCTCTGCTTTTGGTTTTTCTTTGGTTCCCTTCCTGTTTGTTTTCTTTTTTTTTAGTTCCCTCCCTGTTTGGTTGCTTTTTTTAAATAAAAACAAAGCATTTATTTGATGAAGATTTGATCCCTATTGCTATGGGGAGATACTGGAAATCATACAAACTTAAAATCACAAAGCACAAAACTAAAGGTGTTTCTAGAAGAGCAACAATTATTACACATCCAGACTGTATGCTTTTCCCTCTAAATACAGATCTCCTTTGCATTTCTCATATTTAATTAGAAAGACAAAAAAGAATATTTTAAAAATACCTTTGTTCTGGGGACAGTGGCTGCAGTCTGCCATCTGACAGTTGCACCTGCTACCAAAACAGGAGAATGGAAAAGAGGGGAAAAAGTTGAGAACATAATTTTTCAGGAAATATTGTATAAATGAAGTTCCGCGCAGAATTAAGTCTGCATTTTGCATACAATTTTACTACTACTAGAAGCCTCTGAGTTGAGAGCCAGACATGAAATCTGCCCCTGTGAGCACTGCTAGTTCAACTTTTCTTCACTCACCTACCGTTTGAGGCCTTTGCTTTGACTCAGAATCACTACTTCTGCAAACAGAGCTGACTAACTGCTCCTGAACAACTGAGCCTGCAGTGCTGAAAAATTAGCAGGAAGGCTTGGTTTTAACTTGGTCCCTCCTTCCCGAAACCAAGGCAGATCTTCCCAAAGCCTCTCACAAGGAAAGCAGCAGCCTTGCAGCAACACTTTTATCCTGCTGCCAGCCTGGCCCCAGGCCAACCCAGAGCTGTAGACAAAAGTCTGGTAATGAAGTTTCCCAGTAGTTCCCCATCCCAGAGATGGCCACAGCTCACATCCTAACCTTCTGCCTCTGCCGAAACCGCTTAGTTTCCACACTTCGCTACTTTTCTGCAAACAAATTTGGCTGGGCATGGATCTAAAATAACACTTACCTGAGGCCATGTGGTACTGGGAGAGTCTTGCTGAGAGCTTTTGTTGTTCAGATGAACTCCCGAAGGTAGCAAAAGAGTTCGATGAGGGACAGCATTACCTGCAGAATTAATCTCCTGCCGTGAGGGATCCTCGGCGGTATCTGGTGGAGTGAGGCCAATGTGGGAGTTCAGGGATGGCACTCTGCTCTCACTCAGGTATTGCTTCTGCTGATCTTGCTGCTGCTGCTGCAGTAAACTCTGGGGGTACAAGTGCCTGTACTGTTCGTGGGGATCTTGGAAGCAATACTGAGGCACTGCTCCCAACTGGATAAGCTGCACAGGATGACTGGGATCCTGAGAGTACTGGTGTGGTTCATGCATAGTCTTTGGATCGGGTTCCCTGTGATACGGAGGAAGCGGCAGTTGCATCTGCTGCTGCTGCTGCTGTAACTGCTGCATGACAGGTTGTGTTTGGTAATACTGAGCGATCTGCACTGGACACTGCCGCTGCTGCCGAGCTGGCTGCTGCTGCTGGATGTCCTGGATCGAGAGCCGCTGGTGTCCCTGCTGGGGCTGAGCGTAGTACTGAGGCTGCTGCAAGTGCTGCATCTGCTGCGGTAGGAGCTGCTGGGACTGCATTTGCGGAACGTGCGCCTGTCCCTGCTGGAACGCAGAATGCATCTGCATCTGTGATAAGTGCTGCTGGTAGTCGTAGTACAACTGTTGGTGCTGCATGACTTGCATTTGTTGCTTTTGCTGTGTGCTTGCAAAATTCTGGTGTGTTTGCTGTGGCACTGGTTGGTATCTTTGTACGGAGGAAGTTACGGGTTGCTGCTCGACCGCTGGCTTCTGGGACAGCAGCTGCCTGAGTGCACTGTCACCGGAATTATCCACCATTGAAGACTCGGTGTGAAGAACCTGAGCCATGTTGTTGACTTGAATTCTCAGATTTTGGTTAGCAAATACTTGTGTAAAGGAGTCCAATTTGTGCAGGACCCCACTGGTAATTTTTTGTGATCGGTTTTCACTGGGTTGGGAGTAAGAATATTGGTATCCGTCATGGGACTCCCCCTGCCCGAGGGGGCTCCACATTGAGCTTTGATTATTCAAACTATTCCTCGCTGTGACATGGTTTCCTGAGCCAGAATGTGTCCAACTGGTTTGTCTAGATGTATCCATTGACCCAAGACTTTTTGAACCTACAGGCAAAGCTATACTGTCCCTTGAATCTTGGGGAAATGGAGGGGAGAGGGGGGACGCCTGGGGAGCATCCATAACAGATGTCCCATAGCTGTGATTTAGAGATGGAAGGGAGTTCATTTGGTGCTGTTCGTAGTACAAGTTCTCATTGTTGTTGGCAGTATGATTAGTTTTATACAATTGCTGGTCCCCCATTTTTGGTCACTTCTGTTCCAAACTTACAGGCACACAAACCATTGAAATCTCTATGAACCCTGAGATAGCTGAGTGAGGGGAAGGGAGGGGAGGGGAGGAGAAACTAGAATTACTTATAATTCAGCATGTCCATGTGCATCACAAGGACTAAAATTTCCTCCAGTCTGTCAGTAATTCCAATCTCAGACTTGATGTTGTTTCACATCTTCAATAAATGGACCACAGCACAAATCCTACACAGATCAGTAAGTTCGGTGTGCCAAGCACCTGCAGAGTAAGAGAAAGACAAGGTAAGTGCTGGCTCTTTCCATAAACTGTTATTGTTATTGCCTCAAAGGAAACTGTAAAATCTTCTAGTTTGAAATACATAATCAGATGCAAAATTGTAGCAGCTGGGCTATTTCAGAGCAGTTAGATTACTTCATCTCATCCTATTATCCTGCCTCTCCCCTAGTGCTCTGATAAAATCATTCTGCCAAACCAATAAAAGCTTATTCTTCAAAACTGTCTTTTCTCCTAAAGTATATAAACATTCAAGCAGTTTTAGTCAGCCATGCACTGTGCTCTCACGACCGGTTTTAGTCGCACAGTTGACTATCAAGCCAAGTGTGGTGGTTTGACATAATTTGCACATTATTTGGTGTGTTGGCCGGGAAACTCGAATTAGCGAACCTAACCACTACACAAGTCATACTCACAAAATCTCAGACTAGCTGGGGTTGGAAAGGACCTCTGCAGATCATCTCTTCAATCCCCTTCTAAAGCAAGTTCACCTGTGCTTATCTCCAGAGAAGGAGACTCCATAGCCTCTCTGTGCAGCCTGTTCCAGTGCTCTGACACCCTCAAGGTAAGGATGCATGGATCATATTTAGATGGAACTTCCTGTGTTTCAGTTTGTGCCCATTGCCCCTTGCTCTGTTGCTGGGCACCACTGAAAAAAAAAAAAAAAAAAAAAAAAAAAAAAAGCCTGGTTCCATCTTCCTGACACCTGCCCTTAAGGTATTTCCATGCACTGATAAAATCCCATTTTCTCTTCTCCAGGCTAAACAGCCTCTCCTCAGAAGAGATGCTCCAGCCCCCTTATCACCTCCACAGCCCTTCACTGAACTCTTTCCAGTACTTCCTTGCCTTTATTACTAGAGAGCCCAGAACTGGACACAGCACTTCAGATGAGGCTCCACTAAGGCAAAATAGAGGCAGGATCACCTCTCTTGACCTGCTAGCAATGTTCCTCCTCATGCTCCCCTGGATGCCTTTGGCCTCCTTGGCCATAAGGGCACTGTTGGCTCATGGACAGCTTGTTGTCCACCAGACTCCCATGTTCTTCTCCACAGAGCTGCTTCCCAGCAGCTGAGCCCCCTGTGTTAGTTTGGGGGGGTTATTCTTCCACAGTGCAGGACCCTGCACCTGCCTTCATGGAACTTCATTAAGATCCTCTCCAGCCTGTCCAGCTCTTGCTGAATAGCTACACAAGTTTCTGGAAAATCAGACACTCGTCCCAGTTTTGTATCAGGAACAAACTTACTGAGAGTACATTCTGTCCCTTCATTCACATCACTGAGAAATAAGTTGAACAAGGCTGGACCAGGTACTGGCCCCTAGGAAACACCACTAGCAATGGACCTGCAATCAGGCTCTGCACCACTGTCCACAAATCTGGGACCATCCCTTCAGCCAGTTCTCAATCCACCTCACTCATCTAACCCACACTTCCTGAGCTTACCTATGAGGATGTTACGGGAGACAGTGTCAAAAGCCTTGCTCAAGTCAAGGTAGGCACTGCTCTCCCCTCATCTACCCATGCAGCCAGACATTCCATCACAGAAGGCTATCAGATAGATCAAGCTATTATTTCTCCTTGGTTGACTACTCCTGATAACCTTTTCTTCCACACCCTTAGAGCTGACATCCAGGATGAGCTGGTTCATCACCTTTCCAGGCAGGTGAGGCTGACTGACCTGGGGTATGTCTGCTAAGACCAAACCAGTCCATTTAAATCTTTTCTGACCAGTCACCTTACATCAGGAATGCTTAACTCTGACTTCTGTTCTACCTCCTCACCCTTCCTTCTTTGTGTTGCGTGATTTTAACAGGCAAATTTATACAGAATGCAGCCTGTTATAATTTTTACTGTATGAACTGTAATTCAAATAATATTTTACAGATGTCTGTACTGTTTACAAAGAATAAAAAATACATAAGCACACGATAGGATTGTTTTACTACTCCAAAAAATGAAGCAATCACTGTGTCTACAGTCACACATATGCACAGAGGTACAGCATGCTTATGCACTCATAAATACATTTTTAAATAAAAGCAGATCCTGAACTTGAACAAGAACACAGAAATATTAAACCAAAAACCTTAACTCTGACTGCTTCATATCTGATTTTTTAACTGCAGTGCTCTCCACCAAAGACTCCTGTACACTGATGTCCTTACCTTTTTATCCTTAGAAGAATCCTCCATCTACGTGGATAAGTATGAAGTCACCAATGGAGAAAATTTTAACCATTGCTGGATGCATATTAAGGAGAGTTTGTGCTAGCAACAGCGAATACGGGTAGTACATAGCTGCAGGCAGAAAAAAACCTTTTCCATTCTAGCATAATGTATAACAGAAAGCCATAGCTCCCAATGAAGAGGGTTTGCAGTGTGTATAGTTTTTGTGTAAACCATCTGCAACCATTAGTATGTAACATCTTCACGTGACAAATAATAGCTGAGAATAATTGCAAGTTTATTTCCCCTTTCCAGAAATATACATTGCTTCACAGTTTCTCTGAACACACTCCCTTCCAGATTTTTATAGATGAACAATTAAAGAAGATAGGAGTCAACAATGAATAGTCAGGCTGCCAACAGGATTTTTCATCCACAACCGAACTTCAAAGACTTCCTATTAAAAATTATGAAGGGAAACTAAACAAACCCTCCACAAAACATTAAAAGGGCATAAAAATAAACACTGTGTGGTGTTTCACACTGAAAGGCCATCAACGTTTAAAGGAAGAGAGGTAATGTGCATCTCCTTTTATACCTGCCAAGTTAAAGCAGCTCAGTCAAGATGCTCAGAACACATCTCCCCATAAAAACAGTACTACTGGATCTTCAGATACACCTTTTGCATAGGAGCTATGTCCCATTTCACCTATTAACAGAGCTAGCTGTAATTTATACCAAGTTCCTTGAGTTTGGCCCCTCTTATTAAAGTCTGAAGTGACAAGTATTAGTCAAAGGACAAGAAACAATACAAACCAGTGAGGGAGAACAAACGTCTCACAGTAAGAGATGTAAGGTAGCAAACAACCTGATTTCATTACAAAAATGTATCAAGAGACCAACCAGGCCACTGACCCCTTCTCTTCCCACAGGCAGGAGCACCATGGTGGCAGATGCTGTGGACTGTACCAGCAGCCACAGCTAGTGTGTAGTCACCACAAAAAGTGCTGTCCCTTGGGCATCTGACAAATTCCACTTACTGTACCCTTTCACTTGGGGGTTACCTGTCACAGATCTCAGGACACTTGAAAGAGCCAAGAGGTTTTATATCTGTGGCATTAACACAAACACCCATCTTCCCCTCTCCAGAATAAAAAAAAAAAGTAAAATTTAAAATGGTTCATTAACATTTCCTCTCCAGCAGCTCTAGCATCCTCAACTCAGCTCTGGTTTAAGAGGTGAGACATGCTGCTGTTGGTTAGATTACAGAGTTATCATCGGAGTCATACAGAAACATTCGTAATAAAGCTGAAAAAAATTGTAAGGGGTATTACATTAAAATACCAATCAAGTCACAAAAAGACTGGAAAGCTTAGTCACTATGAGAATTACAGTTGAAAAAAATGGCATTGTTTTCAAACAACCATCTCCCCTCCCCCCAAATAAAAACATAAGAAAGATGAAAACATTCCTTTCAAAGGCATCACTGATCTGGAGGGAAAAAATGCAAATGTTTAAAAGGCATTGTTCTTCTACCTTCAGGTAACAGGAAAAAACCCAGATATGCACATTGATAAAAGCATAATCAGTAATCAACCAGTCCCTTAGATACAAAATTTTTTTTAGTACTTGAACTAAATGCTTAAATTCAAGGGCTTGATGCTGTATACACAGCATTTGCTATCAGCTTTAACAAAATGCTAACAGTATACATTTCTTGTCAGATTAAAACCAAAGTCTGTAACAACATCATTAAGGCTCAGGGGCGCCAAAGTTAGTCTCTGGCCAACTGAGAAGCCATTAGCAGCATACTGAATGATTTCCATTTAAGCGAAAGGAAAAAAAGGGTGCTTTTTCTCCTTTGTGTTTAGCACTAATGCCTAAACACCCATCACTGCCATTTACCACAACAGCTCTGACTATTAAATGGTTAAACTGAACAACTGAACTGGTAGGAGTTTAAAGCAACAATGGTTCTGCAGTTGTGTGTTTTTTCTCTTCCTAGCAGTCATTTATGCTACTTAACCTATTACGTTTCTGACATTACAGATACATCCCAATTAGGCAATCATTACAAAGAAACATGAAAACAAATGCCAACAGACAGAATCATTTCTGTAGGCTGCCTAGAAAGAGAAATACCCTACTTAAGTTTATGGATGAAATTTGGACTCATGCTAATGGTAGTTCAATTGATTTCAAAAGAGACAAGGGTTTGCTTCAACCGTTTTCTCATCATTTTGACAAGATCCACTGCAACTTGCACAGCTCCATTCACCAGACTGAAAGCCAGGGGCCCACCAAGCTGGCTGAAATGCCTTTACACACTCCAGCTGTCTCTCTCTTCAAACACAAGTAACTGAAAAGCAATACAAATAGTCTCTCCAGGAAACATGCCATAACTTAATTCTGGTAAACTAGTGGAAGTGGAAGAAAATATCAGTCTTCAATAAAGGTGATCCAGTTTTTCTCCTTTGTAAAGTATTTCACTGTAGAGCTAGAAGCAGCTGCAGGGTCCGGCACAGGAAGGACATGGACCTGTTGGGAGCAAATCCAGAGGAGGGAACCAAGAAGATCAGAGGGAAGAAGCACCTCTCCTATGAGGTAAGGCTGAGAGAACTGGGATTGTTCAGCCTGGAGGAGAAAAGGCTTTGCAGTGATCTAATTGTGGCCTTCCAGCACCTGAAGGGAGCCTACAAGAACGATGGAGAGAGACTTTTTACAAGAGCCTGTAGTGACAGGACAAGGGGGAATGGCTTTGAACTGGAAGAGAGCAGGTTTAGATTAGATATTAGGAAGAAATTCTTTACTGCGAGGGTGACAAGGCACTGGAACAGACTGTCCAGAGAAGTTGTGGATGTCCCATCTTCGGAAGTGTGTAAGGTTGGATGGCATTCTGAGCAGCCTGGTCTAGTGGAAGGTGTCCCTGCTGACATCCAAGGGGTTGAAACTAGATGGCCTTTAAGATCCCTTCCAACCCAGGCCATTCTATCAACTTAGAGAAGACAACAAGCAATGAAATACCAAGATGATAGTTATATAAAATAAACACTTCTGACTCCACACCACAGAAGCCAAAACCCGCAGAATTTTTCAACTCGAGTAAAATTACAGATCAAATGACAGTCACACAATTGAACTGCCTGAATTCACATGAATTTCAGAAAGAGACAGCCACTACAAATAAGTCGATGCATAAAAGTTGGGCTGGGTGTGTGCTGTAAAACCAGGGCTGAATGTCAGCCAGAGCCAGTTTCAGAACTGAGTTAATGGAGAGGGATGACAAAAGACTGTACAAGAGCAAATGCTGAAGAAAGCAGACTCACTAAAAGGCTGCAAAGTTATTACAGCACTAATCTAACCCATCTCAGTAGGCTTCATGGCTGTGTATCAAAACAGAATTGGATCCTACAGTTTGTCCAACTTATTTCAAGCTTATTTTCAAGCTTATGTCCAACTTATTTTCAGCTGTCCCTTTAAGCTAAAAATCTACATGCTTTTATAAATTAATTACTAGCCTGAAAAAAAGAGGACTGGATAAGATGGCAAAAAAGCCCACATCCCTCCATGTTCCACCAGCTTTTGCAGGACAGAGTTATCTACAGCTACCTGCAAGTGACAGCATCAGCAGATACTCATTTGCTGGGCACCACCCCTCCTCGTGTCCCTCCCTCGGGGATGGCAAAACGTCATTAAAGCCAAGTTAACCACCACCCTTAGCAGCCTAAACTGTGTTTTATAACACTTAAGGCCACTTAGAAATGTGTCATTGCTATGTGTTCTCATGGTTTAATCGTGCATTACCACCCCTCAGTCACACAGGCTGACAGGGCTCTCTTGAGTGACTGTCTTTGCCACTGGAATATAAGCCTCATTCGTAACTTCAGGTGATATGAAATCCACTTCTCTCTCCCTTCTTTCATTTAAAGTTTTCCCCTACTTAGCTTCCATAGAACAAACCACTGTTTCTCTTATTAATTTTTTAGCCTTTTTTATGGGAATTTTTTTTATTGACCTGCTTTGTTATTCAGAACTGTCAGATCTCCTGCCAAGATATTCCTAAACCAAGACAGCCGTCATTCACATCATCTTGCTCTCTGATTTCCTTTAGGATAGACACAGGAATAAACAGCAGTTCCTTCCCTGACAGCCTGCATTCTGCTAGCACCAGTGCTACCAGCAGCCCAGCCACTGTTTTCTGCTGGCCACTACACCACTGTGACCCCACCCGGAGAAGCAGCTTTAAAAATCAAGGGAGTGCTACCCAAGAACAGACCCACCTGCACTGCACACACAGCTCTCAGGTACGAAGCTGGCACTGCCCTTACATCTTCAGACCAGAGTAATGCTGGAAGGCTGAGAAGCACGGAATTAGGAGTCAGACAGGCATATATCAGAGACCCCTGTGCTCTTGAACCCTGTTTAGATACCAGGTTTGCCCTCCTAACTTTTCATGCAGCCGGAGTTCAACCCCCTGCTCCTTTTTTTTTTTCCCCTTGGTGAAGAAAATAAGCCTGTGAAAAAAAGCAGCACAGTACTCAAAGAGAATGAATAACTTCCAGTACCAGGCAAGATGGTTGGGTGGGCCATCAGAGAAGAAAAGGGACAGAGAGGTGAGACCCTAACTCAAAGACCATTTTTTTAGAAAAAGTATCTATAGAAATCCTGAAGACATCTGATATAGCAATAAAGAGAGGCAGAGATTTAAAATAAGGGTCAGAAGATATCAGGCTCATGACTGTTGCAGTTAGAACTAACACCGAAGTAGCAATATGGATTTCAAGGACCAAAAATTTTCTACAGTTACCTCAAGGACAAACAATTTTAGGGATGAAAACCTTTTAATCCCAATCCTAGATACAATTGCTCTTGTGGTTTCTGCTTCACTTCAGTTTTGGCTGGTTTTGAATGGCAGAGATCTCAAACCCACACTTGTATCTGCATTTAAACCCAGAGGCTGACGTTTTTCGGCAAAACCAACAACAAAAAACCCACTTCAGTATATGAGAAAGAATGCAAATAGAGGAATTACAAAAGGGAAGAGGACTGAAAGGAAGCAAAATATTTAGTAGACTGATTTTTATAGCAAGCATAGTAAGAAAGCTACATACTCTTAAAATGGAAAAGGAAAAACAGATTAGCTGCTTTTTAATATTAATGCCGGTAGTTCTTCAACAGTAGCACAAATCCTTCAAAAATGATGATTCTCTTTTGCAGCTAAGCTTCTGCAGTGCAGTTGGAAAGGCTGCTGAGTCTCATTTGGCTGCTCATTTAAGCTGTTCCCATTTCCACTCTTAAGAGAGACTAGAATGTCCTAATTCAGTTTAATAAAAAACACATTGGACTTGGGGGAGGGGAGAACAACGATGGTACTGGGAGAGGAACCGAGCAACTTCTCTACTTCAATGAAGTTTAAAAAAAGGCAGCCAAAAAATAAACAACCCCAAAAACCAAATACAAAACCCAACAAACCCTACAGGAAAAACAACAGTTGTTCATCTCAGGAAAGTCTCTAGAAGAGGGGGAGAAGAAAGACAAACAATCAGAAACATCTTCCTCTTGTTTTGATCTATGTAGAAATTCATTCTGAGGCATTGGTAATCTAATGACAATGGTTTTTTTTTTCCCCAAACTAGCAGAATTCTGGTTATTCAAGAAGAGGAGGCTGATTTCTAAATAAAGCCATTAGCTGAATTTAGTTTAAGGAAGATACAATTTCATGGATCCCAAAGAAACAAAGAAGGTTGCTTCAACAAATTTGATTATCTTTGTTGTTGGTGAATTGGTGTCACAATTTTAAGGTACTCTGAAGGGTTTGGAGAACTGCAACAGAAGCAGGTATCACATTACTTCACAAAAATGACAAACATAAAATGATGTGATCTCCTCTCCTCACAATACTGATTAGAAATAAAAATAAAATACAAGCCTTGACTTAAGGCCAGAAGGGCACTTGAATTGCATATTCTGTGACTAAATGACTAAAAAGCATACCAAAAACATCACTAACTAAAGGGGCTGATCACCTGTGACAAACACAAGAGTTTTATCTTAAAATATTTTTAATATTTGCTGGTACTTTAATGCATACTAGATCAAGTGAAACTTGATTTGAAATCTCTTCAGCTAACCTGGGTTTACTGACTGCTTAGTTGAGACAAACTGTTGTCCCTTCTGCAGAGTCTTACATCAAGGGCAATACTCTCCGAACACTTCCTGGAAAATAAACACCTATCATCAAAATTGTCTTCAGCTCCATTTTTTAGTTTACTTCTATTACTGAGAACTGAGCCATTTGTTATTCCCCAGCAAGATCCTGGTTCTGCAAACATGAAAAGAACTTAGGACAGAGAGGTCAGACCTCATTCAGTTGCTGTATGTGGCTGCACTACAACCTCTGTCAGTGCTGTGATTTGGGGGAGCGGGGGAAATTTTCAAACATTAATCCATCAGCTATTGCTGTGGTCACAGCCATGATAAACCTCCAAGTTTAGTTTAGGTGAGCACCCTTGTAATGCACTTAAGCAGTTTCTTCCTGACCTCTGTGGTGTTTATGCTCTGCAGAGTATAATGTGATTGCCTTTTTCTGTAACTGGAAATACTTTGAAACAGTCAAAGAACATATGCTAGGATTTGCAAAAACAGGCAAGAAGGAAACATCCTGAGACAGATAAACAATCAAAAAAACCAAGCACAAGTAGTAGTATGTGGAAAATAGCATATGGCTAAGCTTTCAGTGGGGAGGGAACAGCTATTTTGAGCCTGGTGTCTCCCCCAAAGGAGAGATTTTGAGAAATGCAGCTGCAGGACCCTCTGAAAAGTCCATCCCTCTAAAATAACCATGTTGGTGCCTAGCAGTGGAGCAAAGTCAAATCCAATGGCTAAAAAAACCCGACCACTATGGTTGCTGCTTCTTTCTTTCTTAAATTAATGTCATTTTGCTTGTATGAGACAATATAGCCAAAGTAGTCCTTTAAGATATAAATGTGTGTATATCTCCTGTGTCATACATATTGTGGAACACAAAATAATATTTTAGTAGATACCCAGCCACCACACAACTAACCAGATTTGAGAAGTCCATCAATAAACTCACAGGGACACAAAAGCCCACATTTTGAAAAATTGTCAAAAAGCACTGAACCTTATTAAACAAAACAGCCTTCAGAAAACTGTACATACGATGCTCTGACATTACCTGATTTTTGAGGATCTGTGAGATTCTTGTATCTTCTTGTGCTGTCTTTGCCATAACATTTCATGCTGCTTTCATTCTGTGATCTCAAAGTGACGTATCTAAACAAAGCAGAAGAATGGAAATTAAATTTTCCCCACATGTGACTATCTCCCAGCACCAGCTTGCCCCAAAGCATGAGCAGATTTGTGACAATGAGCTTCCTATTGCAACAAAAACCTAACTTCTCTAAGTTACTCTATCTTTTAAGTCCCTATGGCAGAAGGCAACTATCAGCACTACAACTCCTTTAAAGAACAACCAAGAACCCCTTTCCCTTATTGACTGTGAGAGATTGCTTCGTTGTCACATCTCTGCGATTGATACATCCACAGACCTTCAAATTACAGACTGAAATAGAAGTAACTGAATCTTTTCTTCTTACTCAGCTTGGTGCCTACTGCAAAATGAGGAGTGGGTTATGTTGATGCAATAAATAAAACAACATTTTGCCACTATTGCAGAGACCATAAAGATTTCACAGCACCTCATGCAGCTTTGACAGAACCCAGAGACAGGGTGAATGCTCTCCCTGAAAAGAGATTTGCTGGCCCAGAGCTTGCAACCTACATGACAGGTATCACACAAACAAGTGCAGGTACAGCAACCAGGAAGGGAGGGATTAATGAAAGTCAAAGATGTGGGAGATACAATCAGGCTGTCACCCAGGGGAGAAGAGGTATCTAGACAAGGCATCTTAAATTACCTCAATGAAAACAACATATTTTTTTTTTTTGTCAATGCTGCTGCCTGGATGGCTTTGAGGGAAGGCCTTCAGCACCTGACGGTGTTAAGAAGGTTAGCTGAAATCACTGTGAGGCCACTCTACATGATCTTTGAGAAGTCATGGGGATAGGGGGACATCCCAAAAGACTGAAGGGCAGCTAATGCCACCCCATCTACAAGAATAGCTTAAAGAGGGACCCGAGAAATTACAGGCCCATCAGCCATACTTCAGTCCCTGGGGAAAGTTACAGAACAAATCCTGCAGGGGGTTATCACAAATCACAGGAAGCATGCGACTGGGAAAACCCAGCATGGATTTACCAAGGGCAAAGCGACACAAATGCAGTCCCCCAACACTGAACCCAGTGCTTTTTAATATGTTCATAAGCGGTCTGGAAGACAGAATCAAATGTACCCCGATAAAGTTTGCCAGTGACACCAAACTGAACGGGGCAGCAGATGCTTGAGAAGGAAGAGTCACTCTGCAGGAAGACCTGAATAGGCTGGAAGGGTGGGCTAACAAGAACCTTATGGATTAAAACAAGAACATGCAAGGTCTTCCAGACTGGAACAGATGATTCTTGAGGTGCCTTCTAACCTGGTATTCTATGATTCTGTGAAACGGGCCTGAAATACTATTCTATGATTCCGTGAAACTTGGGGTGCAATTCACAGCTCACTGATACCAGTGGAAAACGCTTCATCTGCATTGAACCCTGCTGGGTTATGGAAAGTCATTCCAGGAGTAAGAAGAAAATGTAGAAATGATCACAGATAACCTCAGTGACAGCAACCAACATTTACTTCCTCTCACTGTCACGCTACATTCACTTGTTAAAATTATTCTTTTAGAATCTCTGATAGAGGGTCCCAAGCACTGTGATGGTGCCACATACAGCAAGAAGCCACCGCCCAAGTCCAGCAGATCCTTGCACAGATCAAGTGCCCTCCCTTAGTTATCCTGCAAGGGGGGGGAGAAGAACCCAAACAACTCCCTTGTCCTGCACCAGTCTCTGCTTCCCCCTTCATCTTCCCCCCAGGCCCACAGGAAACAGCAGAGCTCAATCCAGACATCAACCTACCAAAGCATGCACCATGAGAGACAGCGGAGCCCCCTACCAAGCCTGACCTGCCTAAAACGTCTTTCTTTAACAGAACACCTCAGCTGATGGTAAATGCTGGTAGCATCACATGGATTTTCTTGGATCTAAGTGAGTTTTTGATTACAACATTATCATGTTGAGCCCCAGTAACCTGTGTGCACCCATGTCTTGCAACAAACATGACCCTAAAAGCTACATGTCCCCGAACACAAACCATTCATCACCCACTTGCATCCTGTCTGCTCACAACTTTTCTAAGTGAATCCAAGAATCTTTGTTGAAATAAGGTTTTAACAGACTTGCATCTTCTTAATGCTTTATATGTCTTGGTTTTCATGCTGCTATTTAAATACCTCTAGGTTTATAAGAGGCATATTGAATCTTATAGTTGACTAAAAATTGAGTACTATTTGATTGTAAGAAAGAATACCCAAACACATGGAGAAAACCTGAGATTGACATCAGTGGAGCCAAGAGGGAAAATGGCGGGATTTTTTGCCTCAGTTTAACACAGGTATTTAGAACCTGCCAATATGTTTAAATTTAACTTTAAAAAAACCTGCTAAATTATGAACCATGACCAAAGTCACAATATATAGTTTTGCTTTCTTGGTCGTTTATCCATCTGCTCTGAACAAATGATGCTACTATTAAGCCTAAATGCCAAAATATTGTGCAGACAAACCATTCCTGATAGTTTCCTACAGAGGCCAGGCTGATGGACACTAGGGAAAACAACAACTGAAATACCCAGGAAAGCCCTTTCCTGTTTTTCATATTTGCTCTGGCTGCTTTTCCCACTATATCACTTTTATCATTAGAATTACAATACCACCCCTATGTAGGGCTACAGAAACTACCAGAGACGTACAAAGGTCTCATAGGTAATAACACAGTTAAAAAGTAAAACTCTGGGCCGTTTAGAGCCAGAGGCAGAGAACTGATGGCTGATAAATACTGAAAACAGTCCCAACATAATTAATGCAGGAACAATCACTGCAGATGTACATCAAATTTACACATGACATTTTAATTCTTTCCACTGAATTTTAATCACCATCTCATTTTTTGAGGTTTAGATCAGAAAGCAATCTAACTTTATATTCCTTTGCCATATTCTTCAGTTTTGCTTTTATCCCAGCCCTTAGATTTTGCACACAAACAAAGCACAGTAAGGAGAAGCTGAGAAGTGGAGCTTACAGCAAAATTTACAAATTAAGAGCTAAGTCAGAGATCAGCTATCCCATATACACAATATAAATTTTCAGTCTTCTCCCTTCATTAGGACTGATGACGCTGCTGGAAAATAAGGAGCACGTAATACCTTTTATGGGAATGTAAAGCACGGATGAATTAGCAGAAAGAGAATGCAGCTGAATCAATTTCTCATCTCAAGATAGAAATGAAGGTAATTTCTTGAACTTTGCTATGCTTGTAACATATTGATCAAAGCTTCACACTGCAAGTTAAAGTAGGTATTTACCCAGGAACAAAATGGAGGATAGCAGTAGAACTCTAGGCATCACACCAAAGACAGATTTGGGATTTTTTCCAGTCGTCTTACGCTAAAGAAAAATCAAAGTTTCTGCATGCTTGCATGCTCTTGCAACACACGAGAGGAAGATTTATAGATGAAAGCTGAATTAGTCCTGCAGAAGTCTTCACAAAGCAAATTTAGTGATAGGACAGGAGGAGTGCTTTCTAACTGAAAGTGAGTAGTTTTAGATTAGATATTGGGAAGAAATCCTTTTCTATGAGCATAGTGAGGCACCGGAACAGGTTGCCCCAGTAATTTGTGGCTTCCCCACCTCTGAAAGTGTTCAAAGCTAGCTCCTGGATGAAGCGCTGAGCAACCTGGTTTAGTGGGAAGTGTCCTGCTAAAATGCTAAAATGCAAAGGACTCCCTGTATGCATGCTGGACAGCACAGCAGAGGGAACACGGGGGAGTCAGTGAGCACTGCACACCAACTGCGCACCAAGGAACTCCCCCCTCAAGCTCAGAGGTACAGCACTCGTGTCTGGGCACAGAGCAGACAATAGGGGATGCTGTATCATAAAGTCACCCCAAGACACCATGGCAGACAGGCTGGAACTGGATGATCTTCGAGGTCCCTTCCAACCCAAACCATTCTCGGATCCTGTGATTGTATGATTTACTTAAATGGCATTAATGTCTGTATCATTTGACATTAAGAACTTAACCAAGGTGTTACAACTGGAACTCAGACTTCCTAGACTTCCTGCAGATCACCAGAGCATCCAAAACGTGATTGTGAGAATATACCAAAAAGGGGGGGGGGGTATAATAAAACAGTGTTTCATTAGTTTTGGAGCAGGAAAGGGAAAAGTTAGCCATCATAAGATAAGAAACATAAGAACAACAACAGAGTATGTGTATTAAACAAGCTGTACCAACAAAGATTGTAATATCAAGTGGCTATATCAGCAACGAAATAGTTACCAGTACCAGAATTATCATCATCAATCACATACCATTACTTCAGCTAACACAACTATATCTAAGCAGAGCCTCTCCTCAGATGCTGGAAGTCCTCTCTTAATCATCAGCCTCATGAATTTGTTCCCTTTCCCTGGTCCATGTTCAGCTTCTTGTTTGCACCTTCTGAGAAAAACTCCAGGAATTCAAATTCTCTTCTAAGGACAGGATTCTCTGTGCATGCATAATTATTCTTATGTGCTCATTTCTGCATCTTTGAAATGCTTCAGGAATACTGCATGACATTTATTTTCAGAGAAAATGGCTTAGACAAACAGAGCATCTTACAGGTGAGATGCTATTCCACAGATAGATTACAAATTCCAAAATTTATTAGTTTTTCACATGTAGGGTCCAAGGCTTCAGGTAACACATACAGTACAACGTGAGATTATGTTTAAATTGTCTTTGACATGAGCTGCTGGTTAGCTTCATCCCTGTCACACAAAGCAAATGGGTGCTCACACAAGAGAAGAGCACCAGTTACACCACGGCATAACCCGGGAGGTGCCTGCCTCGGCAGCTGCACCAAGCGCCTGCCCTCTGGCACTGACCGGAACGCAAACCCAGCTCCCTCGAGCAGGGCTCAGCCTGGCCCATCCAGAAGAAAATCCTCCTACATCTCATACCACATAACCACCTCTTGTCCTCTCCTTACCGAATTTGGAGAGCAGCTGGCAGTACAAGAGCCCCAGAGCTGCAGCAGAACCCAATATTCCCCTTCACAGCTCTCCTA